ATATATATATATACACATACATATATATATATATGATCTAAACGGGATAGCATGCTCGTTCGCCTCTCGAATAACGAATGAGATATGTAGGAACGCTTTTGGGACATCCTGTATATAGATTTCGAGCACACATACATTCGAGCCGATTCTCGCTTTCGCGTTCAATACTCATATAAATTTATACATATAAATTTATACGTATAAGAAAAAAGTTCGTATGTAAATTGTTATTCACAAACGAGAGCGCGATATTTCATGGTGAAACGCAAAAGTATCATTTCCTTACTTGTGTGTGCTGCCAATCTCAAATATTTACCTATATATGTTACACCTCTTGCGAGGTGTCTACGATGCTAGATGAAGTGGTGTATAAGTTATTGTAAATATGAAATTACATCGAATGTACAGAGCTTTTATACGAGATATCTCTAAGTGAATGACAATCTACTGCTTTTGAAACATAATCCCGTATAGAACGGGCTTGTGCTGTATATACAGGCCAGACATAATGAAATATAAAAGCGTTTTACGTCGAGAAAAAGAAAGGAATCGAAAAAACGTGTTATGGCATATATTAGGACATTCAATTTACCAAGAAAATCCACCGGGAAGTAGGGCAAGCAATAAACAGACAAACAAACACAATCTATTCAGACATCGAACTTCGCAACAAGTGCTTATCAATGCTTCTAAAAAACTGATATCTCTTTCTTTTTCAATAGCTAAATATTTTTACTTCGTTTGCTGTGACATTAAGTTTTATTTAAGTTTTATTTAAGTGTCCCTATTCGTGATTTTTCAAAATAAACCAACTGAATTAGAAAAATTACAGATGTAATCGATGTAATTGATATGTTGTAAATGTTTTGTACTCGGAAAGATATCTCGATCTAAAGTATTGTGCATTAGTAACAATAATGCTTATAATAACGAAAGTAGTAGAGGTAATAACAAAAAAAGAAAAAAGATATTAATTATTAGTATTAATAGCTACAATAATATTTTCTATAATAACATAACAGTAATAATACTGTTGGTCGAGTTTGTCACCATCGTAATTAGGGCGAATAATCAGCATATCGATCGGCATCGTTGCAAGTGTTGGAGTTTAGACAGTATTATATGATATTGATAGGAAATAAAAGCTTATGTAAATAAAAGTTTATGTAAATTCATCAATATGATCCCAATTGCCATTTGTTGTGTGGGAATATGTATACGTAATTTTAAAAAGATCATTTCTACGACCATATTATTTATAGTCGTTCCTTCTCATCACACATTTCAATTGAAATCATTCATGTAATGCAATTCCATATTTCAATGACAACAAATTCCGCTAAAAGCAGTCTCATTCACGAAAATAAATAAAAATACAGTAGATAACATTATAAAGCAAATTTTCCGTTCGTACCGTCTCATTATTAATAAAGACCTGCCTAACTCAGCGATAAATGAAACTTTATCGCCGAAATGACGTATGGCGTGTTAAGTATATGACGTATTTATTTCAACAAATCTCTGTCTAAACTCCCCCTCGTCAAATCTCATAACACGCGATTCTTACGACTGTTATAGCAGCGGCGAATAATAGTACGACGATTATTATCTATCTATCAATTATTACCGTTAATATACTGAGAAAAGGAATCGTTATTTTATACTGAGAACCGTATCGGTCACTCGTAGAACTTACCTGCACGCAAGGCTTGCACAAATTAACACACAGGCCATCCGCGTCTTTGCTGTAGTGCTCCACAAGATCCTGCAAATTTCTGAATGTGGTTCGCCTGGCGATGAAAAAGCCACCCTCGTCCAATTGACGAATACGATAATGTTTCACTGTGTCGCCGTCACGCACTACAACAATCATTGATATATATTCCACTTTGGCGCTTTAATGGCCTCGCAATTTTGCATACAGATCGCACGCTGCCGCACGATCCCACCCGATCATTATTCATTTATTTGTTATCGTTCTGTCGGTATTACGACCACGACCGGTAGTTTCTATTATCGTTCTATGACGTTACCTGAAAGGGAGTAATCATTGTGTCGGCTCTCGGAGTCTCTTATCAGAAACGCGCCGTGATCGTTTTCCGGCAGTAGCAATTTTTTCTCAGCCTCGATTCGCTTAATCTTCCTGAAATACCATCTGTAAATGCAAATTAGCGTTATAACTTTTACAGATTCGCTCTTCCACTTACTAATCGCTAAGATTCTTTGTTGCGAATCAATCTCTGACTTATTTCGCAAATTAAAAATCATGATCAGCACGACACATTTTTGCCTGCCGATTATAACAAATTATTAATATATATCGTATATAATTTTTAGTGCTTTCCAGCGAGAGATACAGTGATCATTTCATCTTTATTTAACATTGGTAAATAAGGCTATAATAATTCACTGTGTTGTCTGTCTCTTGCTAGAAAGCATCCTTTATTATTAATTATCAAAGATCTCATTTGATGGAGTGTTCGCGCTGTGCTTTAGTCCGAACATTAATTTTTGAAAGTTTTTATCAAGTTTTATTTATATTCTCCATCAATGTAAGATTAATCTCGGTTTATAACTTGTTGTTTATCTCTTCTCTATTTCTAAAATTAACAGAAGGCCTCAACATCTGAGGCTGCTTTCCTTTTAGGGGAAACACAAATGTTGTTTTATCTTTATTTATTCATTGCATTCCAAGAAAGATAGAACGATGTTTGTGTCTTCCTAAAAGGAAAGCAAACTGAATTATTATCTACGTCCACCTGATGTGCAGGAACCATCCAAACAAAGGTCGAAGGTCAGCAATATCGGCTTTGATTAAACAGATAAAAATTATCACGCCTAGTTCAATTTAAAACGACAAAGCCACTCACGGTTCTGCCTCGATTGATTTCAATTTTGCGACGTAATTGCTGGGAATGTAACCCTCCTGCCTGGTCCTTTTACTCTTGGCCAGCCACCAGTCTCCCTGCGTGTCATTGATAATCTCCAAGTGTTCTCCCTTCTTAAAACTCAAATCCTCATCAGTGCGAGCGTCATAATCATACAAAGCAACGAATATCTTCGCCGTCGTAACGTCCATGTCTGGGATCTGCGGAATCGGCCTGATGGGATCCGGCGGCGGCGTCGGCACCGGGCTGACCTGCGACGCGACCGCCTCTATGCTGGGATTGCCAATTCTGTCCGGCTTCTCCTTCTCCACGTCCGTCGGGCTGCTGAAGCAGTTCCCCATGTTTTGGCCGTTTGAGTCTATCCGACTACGATTTACGATCCTCTCAAACGATCTTCAAATTGGGTCACTATCGTTGTCCACGGGACGAGTCCACCTTCTCACATTTAACGATCACTATATCAAAGTCGCACTGGAGCTACCCGTTTAAAGTTCACAGTCTTATATATAGACACGCAAATCGCCGGATGCGTAGGCGTTAAAAATCAAGAACGAGTCATACGCGGACCTTTGGTGCCGCGTTACGTTAATCCGATTAATCGTTCGTGTGGTTCATTACCTGGGAAAAAGAGGAGAAGGGTCCACACGCGGGTATCAGCAAGACCAAAGTTGTTGAGATCTGTCAGCTGTGCCGTCGCCCAGAGGACAAGAGATGAAGAATACACAGGACGGGCGGGACCGTCGGCTGGATGGAAGCGAACCGTGCCGGGAGGATCACATCCGCGTGAAGAAATCGCGAGGCGGTGCCGCGCATTCTCCGGATATCCCGGAGCTCTGGGACGACACTCGGCTGCACCAGCGAACTGCCTGCCGCATTGCCACGGAAGAACGGCGTATCCTGTCCTTCTCCAGATTATCAAGAGGACAACGCGACGTTGGACTTAATTCTCTGACACGATCTCTGGACACGATATCAGGATTCGTCTCGATTATCTTATCCTCGAGACACGAGCAGACACGAGAGTCCAGCGGAGGAACACGGCGATAGAACACGCGCGCGCGATCCAGCCTCTCACCTCGATAGAGCTTAGAAAGTAGGCGAGTCGCCAGGCGCCATCGCCATTGCAGCGGTCACGGATCCGTCAAAAAGGCTCACCGTGCGTATCCGTTTTCGCATGCGCGCGCTGCCCACCGATGAGATCTGGCCTGTTCTGGCCTTCCTCCTCGTATATACGCGACACACGCCCAATTTCTTGTCGACGATCGGCGATTCATCCGATCGCGACGACGACGATGCTATTACCGCGGCAAACGGTCCGTTCCTCAGGCCCGATCTGTCCTCGTCGTCCCCGGTAATCTCGGTATTCTCATCGTCCGCGCACACCGCGCTCGCGAGAACGTGACGGAACGCGCCAGATGTATTTTGATGTTTCACGTTCGAACCATTCGCATCGCACACCACAGCTTGTTGTAACTCGTAACTCGCGCGGACTCGCACGATCTAATCCCGGTGGAGAAAGTCACGATTCGGAGCGCGAGTGATTCGCACTCGGACGCGCCTCTCGATTCTTGTCTGTCTTGTCCTCAGTCTTGTCGTCGCCACGACACGCCTAACCTCTGACGGATTCTTGGAACGACTCATTCACGAAGTAGCGCCTGTAGTGCTCGTTCGGTAAAGAATTCCTTCATTTATTTTGAAAAAAAGTTATGTGTAGCTATATATTATCCTAAGTAGAATAACAAGTCACGATAACGTTAAAATGATATTAAAATGAATCGGAAATGATTGAAAAATGACTTTTAATAATCATTTTGAAGTTATTTTGACATCATTTTGATATCATGACTTGTTGTTTTGCTTGAGAATTAATAATTACATAGAAACATATCGAGTCAAGAGAAAATCAAAATGACTTTATTTTGTCATTATGAAAGTTAAAATATTAATTTTTTTTATTATTAGAAAATTTAACATTAAGAATCAAAAAGAAGTCATTTTGATTTTTGCTGGAATTATGTTTATTTTGAATAAATGTTTAATTTATACAAATCTCGTAAGTTTTTGTCAAGCGCTTTTGTATAGATAAAGTGGAGTAAACTGAGTTGAAAAATTCTTTATTATTTTGCAATTTTCGCAATAATTAAGAAGATATTAATTATTAAAAATTGCCTAATATTGATTTTCAATAATTTTTTACCCAAATACTATCAACTTTACAAAAAAACTGCTAGAGACAAAAATCATTTATTTTCTTCTCATAGAATTCTAAGAATTTTTTCAGAATTTTTAATCAACTTTTAAGTAATGCATTTTCTTATTTTTATCAATATTTTATTGAGAAAATATGATATTAAAAAATTTGAAAAAATTCTGAAAAAATCCTCAAAACTTATGAGAAGAAAACAAACATTTTTTTATCTCTCGCTGTTTTTTTTGTAAAGTTGGTAGTATTTGAGTAAAAAATTATTGAAAACCAATATTTAGCGATTTTAATAATTAATATCTCGTTAACCATTGCGAAAATTGCAAAATGATAGAGGACTTTTCGACTCAGTTTAGTCCGCTTTATCACATAAAAGTGCCTGACAAAAACTTACGGGACACCTTGTATAACGTCCTTTTGATTTTCTTGTAATTTTGTAAATTTTTGAGCGACGATTTTCCTTTTCGGAATATATAATATTTATACCAGTCGAGCACATGCAAATGTAATTAATTAAGAACTTCTGGCAAAACACAAAAACAGTAATATTACATCAATTAATATTCCCCACTCAACAATATAAATATAATATATGTTGTACATAACAGTTACATAATTGTCGGGAAATTATAATACTGACATAAATTAATGTTATATTACTGTTTATGCTCTGCAGGTTAGTGTTTATTTCAACTTTGACAATCGCTTATATTTTCTATAACAATTATATAATTTTTTAATATTTCTAAGCTCAATCCACCTCCGTTATATTCCGTAAGTAGAATTCTGATCTAGAAGAAGAAAGAGGGAGAAAACGCATTATTATCGCCAGTTGAAATGGAATAATTGGAGTTAAATTTCTGATAAGGATGTCTCATATTACTCTCATATTACTCTATCTCCTCTCATGCACATATCATTTGATATATTTGCTTACTTCTCGGTACTAACTTTACTAACAACATCCCGATCAAGCCAGAAAAATACAGCTACAATCGGTTACAATTACCATAAAATGATCGCCTGTGCTTATTATTGGGTGGTGCAAGAAAAGATGGTCCTTGACGTCGACACCGAAATGTTGCGATCGATAAGAACTATATCATTATTTTACCAAAGCGCGACAATCTGTTATTTTATTTCTGTATTAATTTTTCTTCATCGAAATTTCAATCTTTATCGTCGCTGACGTGAGGACTATGGGGATGCTTCTTTATGCCACCCTATATATAAATTATATACAATGAACACGATAGTGATATACATATCAGTGATTTACATATCCTTGCCATTCACTATTTTCTATGATATTCGCTGCTCGCAATTTTATCTATGGATTCGAGCTAGGATTTGTTTCTCGAATAAACTTCAACGTCCGATTTATCATTTAATTATCGTCTCGACATTCTACTTTATTTCAAAAAGAAAACATCGACAAAATGTATTTAACAACGGTTACAGTCGTTCTCGTTAAACAAGAGGCACGATTGCTCTCGCCATCGTTCTGTACAATATATGTCTTGCAACGTCTCTGTTTAAAAGACGCATCTAGTTAATCGATCTGACGAATTGCGAAAAAGTACACGAATTCAATATTCATTGTCACGTCGACCTATTGGAATATACAACATTTCGATCTCGATAAAAGAATAGGAAATAATTCGACCGCTGCAAATTCATATGTAATTCATTATAATCGAAAATAATTGAGAAAATTTGATTTACAATTATTCAAGTTAAAAAAGGAACCAAAATTTATTTCCTTTCCTTTTTATTGATTTTACGAACGTAATAAGCGCATAAATTACATAATATCGCATGTTTGTTATAAAAAAAGAAATTTTAATCATAAAAAGTTTCTTGAAGAGAAAAGTAAATAAAATTTTTTAAATAATGTATTTAAAAATTTTGAATGTCTTCGTGAAAAAACTTTGGCGTTCTCTCGAATAAACATGAAGGAATTTGATTAAAATCGTTTGCAAGAACTCGTTCCTCTAAAAAAAAAGAAAAAAAAAAGAAAAAAAAAGAAGTAGGTTAAGACAAAATAAATATTAAATTAGATACAAAGTGACTATCGAAATGTTTCTCTTTTCTAATCGAAATTATATGTGTAATTATTAGCTTTTTGATTGCTATATACGTATATATGATTATCCAATTTCTCTGCTAGAAAATAACAATTAAAAATAATCTCTCTTTATACGTACAGCGACTTTTTTATATACCGCATTATCCTACAAAGTTAATTTATATTTTGAGGAGTGAAAGCTGCCTTCCTCTAATTCAGTAAGAAAGACGCAAACGATAACGAAGGTTCTCTTACTTTCAACATTTTAATCACGCGAAATTTGATTTGAAATTTAATTTAAAATTAAAATGTTTACCAAATATTGAATGTAGCAAAAATAACGTGGACTTCATCTTTTACGAATATAAAACAATAGAGAATTATAATTCTATAAACAATTCTACAAAGAAGATTTTTAATGTTGCAATGTTTACAAATCACTAGTATTAAATATCAATATTAAATATTAAATTGATATTTAAATTATTTGTAATATTAATATTATAAAAAGATAATATATTAATAATGCATTAATTTATTTCATAAAAGTTTATGTATACATATAAGCAATTTTTTCTTCATTCTAGATTTCATCTCTGATATATTTGACTTGTAATAAAAAAATCACTATACAGAAAGAGAAGGATTCTGTTTGTAGATATATTATATTTTATTTTCCTTGTGAAGTAGGATAATCTTAATTGTTTCATAAAGAAAAAAACAGAAAGAATTGACAAGTCGTACATCACGAGTAAACCATAAATAAAATATTCGCTGGTGAAAGATCAGAGATCTCTCAATCATTTGCGTAATTCTTCCACGCGATTTATGTGAAGCATCTTTAGAAAAATAAAGGAAAACGCGAATTATCACGTTTGTTTGCTTTAAAATGGGCATTAACCTTGCGGCTAGTTAGTAAATAACGCACGATTATATTTTCTCGCACGACGTATTAATAGAATCGATTAAATCTATGACGTGTCTACTATCCAGAAATAGTTATTTTGTAATAATAATAATTACTCTTTTTTATAGTCTATCAAAATATTCATCACAGTGCTACGGACACAAAGATTGTGTTCTGGTTTATGTATATATACATATATATGTGTAAATAATCATTTTTTTTACTCCCGGGAAAAACCGACGAGTTCCGATCGCTCGCGTTTCGAATCGCAAGGAAGAAAAAAAAAAACAAATCACAATCACACAAATCACAAAAATCACATTTCGTTTTCCGGGAAAAGAATTTTGATTTCTTTCTCTCTTGGATTTTTCTTTTCTCCTTGTTAGAAATTATAATGATTCGTAGAATCATGAAATAACGCATGAATAACTTTGTACTTTCATTACACATATCATTCAATCACAACACGTTTTGATATTTCTCGATTTTATCTTCCATTCGGAACACGAGACCGAATTCGTCGACGTTTTTCCACGCT